ATCATGGAAGCGGTGGCAGCGGGTACACTGTAGTGGTCTTTTCTTAGGGCGGGTAGGCCGTGATAGGCCAGAGGAGCCAAAGAGTTGCAAGGCACGTTGTGGCTTCTTTGGAAAGGCTATGACTGCCGTGATAGAGCCCTCCTCTACAGGGTGCTTAGAGAGCTTAGTCATAAGCGGCTTCATACCAGTTATGCGCTCTGCTTCTGTACTGATATCCCTGATTGTGGTGGGTGCCCATCCCTCTCGGGTCCAGAGCTGCTGAGGGATCCTAGGGACTACTACCTGATGGAAACCCATTGCAGCCTCAAAGTTGCCGTCTCCTGCTAGCCCACTTGCCTGTGGGGAGAGTAGGAAAGCCCTACCTTCTTCAGTGGCTGAGATTGCATATCCTGTAGCCACGGCCTGCACTCGTGCGATTCCACCAGGAATTTTTTTCCGCTAGGGTGACCCGGATGCCATGCGGCCCAATAGCTCGTAGGCTGGAGGAGACCGGCAGCCGGAGAAAGATACGGGAGTCAGTTTTGCTTTCCTGCTGGGGTTGCTGCTGGGCTGGCTTTTGTGTCTGCTGCCGAGAGGCTTGCACACTATGTTCTTGAGTATCAGATTGCCAGTTGTCCTGGCTAGCTTTTAGGGCGGCAACTGAGGCCCAGGTTGAGGTCTGTAAGGTCTTTTTAGCTTGATATGCCTGCGCCATCTGGGGGGGTGCTATGTCAGGCTTTGCCCCTTGCTGTGGGGTGTTGAGGTTTGCCAGGGTAATAAACCTAGCTACAAGCCCTCGAGCGAGCTCCTTGGGACGGCCCTGTAGAGAGGAGACAGTTGTCTCAAGTGCCTCTGCAAGGGAGGTTAGCGCCAGCTTCCAGTCACCTAGGAGCAGGAGCTGGTCGTTTGCAGCTGCGGTAGCCTGCTGGCAAATTGATCCAGCAGCCTGCGTGTTGGATATAGGAGCTATTATCGCCGTAGGCATCCTATAGGGGAGGGTGGCGCCCTCCTTTTCAGGGAGATGCGGGGGAGGGGGTAGGGGTGGGAGGTCCTGATAACGGATCAGAGTTTTCGAACAGGCGCGGAGTCCCTGGGCGAGCTTCGTCCGCAGGAGGATCGTCTACCTCCATGTCTAGAGGGGGAGAGCGATCAGTATAGATGGTATAAATAGTGATAAACAATGTATAGTCGTTGGTCTGCCTGCGAGTCCGTGCAATTGAACTCAGAATTGAATATGAGCATGGTATAATAGGCGCAAGGGGTCATGTGACCTCAATTTCCTAATTAGGAAGGTGGCCAAGTCATATACCATTGGACTGCTCTCACTGAGCTCTTGGTGATGGTGGTGGTCTTGACATAGTAGCACTAACCCTGATTACAAAGGTAATTTTGAGATAGCTTGTATAAAAATGCTCATCTAGCATATCACAATGAATATAGTCTCATTTTCTGAAGTGGCCTAGATAAGAAGGTATGATAGATTGAAGTTGGAAGTTCTATCTATATAAGGATGCTATTTCATACTCATCAAGTAGTTCTCTCAGTATCTACGGCTAGTATCATGGTTATGAAGGTGCTATCTAGGGATATATCATTAATTCAATGGCTAGAGAGCAATTATCCAGGGACCTGCAGGTACTATATATATAATATGGTTGAAGTAATACTGATAAGGAGATAGAGATCTTAGCTCAGAATAATATAGTTTTATATTAATTAATACTACAATTTAAAAGATAAGAGACCCTTCATAATTTACAATTATGGTGGTGATGCAAGGAGGTGGGGATCAGCTGGAAATATGGTGTGATACAAAAGATAAGGGATCTTCATGATCTGCAATTATGGTGGTGGTGCAGCAACATCAGGAACACAGCACAGGGTGGGGGACACAGCTTGGCCAGACTTTGGGAACACCACCTAACCAAGGAACCTGAGGATCCCAAAATGACACCACCCCTAGTATGATATGATCTTCAGAAATCGAAAGAAATTCAATTTATAATATTGAATGCCTAGAGCTCTTCATATTCTAAGATAAATAGGGGCTTAATTCCCCCCCAAGGTTGGTACCCTAGCCCAGTGCTACCAGCACTATTTCTTCTTTCTTTTGATATTGCTTGTTTCTCTACTTTCCTTGCTACTCCACTTTCTGCTCAACATGGCTGCCAACCTTCCTGACTGCTACCACTACCATGCTACCCTCCATCTCCTTATCTGCAAGGAATATCATACTGCCATTCCCAAGAATAAGGCTACTGAGCACCTCCAGAAAGACCACTTGATTACTCAGCATCAAATGGTTGACCTTGGCTATCAGGCTTCTATCCAGGAGCTTGAATTATCCCCTATCACTAATATCCATCAATAGATACTTGCCAACCAACCTATTTCTGCCATTGAAGGATTGAAGTCTTCCCAAATTTAGGAATGTAGTGTCTGTGGTGGCCTATTTCAGTCTCTTACTAAGGCTAAACAGCATCTCAGTACTGAGCACAAGCATCTAAGAGGGTCAAGTCAGCCTGTTACCTTATATGACGCCAACACCCAGTCATTGCAGCCCAATCGATACTTTTTCAAAGTACTGGCTGTATCCCCTCCCCATACTCCTACCAGGGCAGGTGCTCCAAGTCCTTCACCAACCCCTGGGCCATCCAGGCAACGCTATGCTCGACAACCTAGGTAAGGATCAATCTCAAGTCTCATCTACATTCACTGACTCTCTCCTAGGGTGATTGAGTCTAGTGACTCAGACATTGAGATAGTCTCTGCCAGGTAAGCATTCCCATTCCCTTGTTTGACATATGTCTTGCTGACATTAGCTCTATAGGGATGTCACTACCTCTCTGAGGCCCCCAGCCAGTCTTCCTACCAGGTATGTTCTATATATATATATCACTCTCTCTTCAATACCTTTACTGATATATTGCTAGGCCTAGTTCCTCAGTGCAGTGTGAGGCTGGCATCACTGCAGATCTGGTGGATTCCTTACTCAGTCAGTATCAGTGTAAAGGGGGGGTGTACATGTGTTGTTCCCTGTGACAGGAACCATGTTGTGATCAAGGGATCTTAGGGATAGATATACCAAGATGATGCTGCTATACCACACAGCACTAAATGATCTTAGCAAGAAAATAATATAATGATAAAAGGAAACAGAACAATAAAGGAGCCTTGCTCCTCTCTATATGATGATAACAATATTAGTGAAGCAACCTAGAAACTAATAGAATGCTTTATTTCTTGTAACTATCTGGGAGGGAACCCTCCAATAAGTACTCCAGCCGCGGGATCCACTATATATTAGTATATTGGAGTCAGCAGTTCTACAGTGTTCTAAGATAGGAAATATGAGAGATCTAAGGTTTCACAATGCCCCTGGCACAATATGGTGGGAATTTATATTGTATATATATTTGCTATATCCCTGATATAATATTAGAAATAAAAAGATAATAAATAAGATGATTAGAGATATAAAGAATAAGAAAAAGAAGTATTGAAGATTATACTCTAAAATATCATAAAATCTTTTAAAATCCTCTAGTCTTTTTGTTAACTTCTATCTTCTAAAAGATTCTATCATATTCTATTCTAAAATCCTCTTTACCATTACTATGAGGCATGTCTCCTACTTTGCTATTCTTTAATTTCAAAGCAGACTATTTTAGAAAGGTTCAACTGTATTATAAATAGGCTTATCCTCTTCTAAGTCATATTCCTTACATGTAAGGTCTCCTTACACATAGTAAAAAAAAACCCTAAAATGTGGGTTCTGGGACCTTACATAGAACTTCATGTAAGGTCCCTAACTCAAGAACTAGGCCATATTAGGAAGTAAGACTAGTATCATGGTGATCCTAATCAGGTCTAGTTTCTGCTGGTGCAGTTGGATGGCTGACATAAGCCGTTTTCAATATACCCTATACCAAATAGGGTAATATTATGGCCAATGCTATTACAGGCTATGTAGTGGTCCAATTGCTCAGAATTAAATATGATGATATCATGGAGGTCTAGAAGGTGCACGTGACTTCAATTTCCTAATTAGGAAGGTGGTCATATCACCTATCTTTTCACTGCTCTCACTTAGCTCTAGGTGATGGTAGTACTCCCTAGATGATGGCACTATACCTAATTAGGAAGGTAGTCATATAATGGCTTAGATGAAAGTACTCATTGAGAGCATTACAATGAACATGGTCTGATATTCTGAAGTGGCCTAGAAAAGGAGATATAGAGGTTTAAAATTAGAAATTCCAATGTAGTAAAGTAGAAATGGTCTTTTATTATGATTATAATGCAATTACTGTAATTTAGGCATGGTAGTAGACATATATAATTGATGGTAGAAGTAATAATAAATAACTAGATAGGTATCTCAGCCTAGAATAAGATGATTCGAAATGAACAGCTGGTGTGATTAATAAGATGAGGGATTTTTCATGATCTGCAATTGTTGTGGTGGCGCAGCTAGATAGAGGGCATGGCATAGAGTGGGGGGGATGGCTCAGCTGGACTTTGGGAACACTTCCTACCTAATGTTCCTCACGCCACCACTAGTATGATATCATCTTAAGAGACTGAATGAGATTGAATTTATAATATTGAATGTCTAGAACTCTTCATAATCTAATATAAATTAATGGTTGCTCCCCCTTCCCAGATTAGTTCCCTAGCCAAGTGCTACCAGCAACATTTCTTATTTCTTTTTATATTGCCTATCTCTCCATTTCTATACTATCTCTTCAGGTTTCTAAGCCCTCTGCTTAACTTCTCTTTTTCATATACGCTTCACTATGGCCACCAACCTTCCTGAATTTATTATGTATCATCCTATCTACCATCTGCTTCTTTGCAAAGAATGCAAGGTGGTGGTGCCAAAGGATCTTTTTGTTTCTCATCTTCAAGCTGATCATCTGTTTACCACACACCAAATCCAAGAAGGGAGCTATAAAGCTGCCCTTGAAGCTCTAGAGCTTCAAAGAATTTCTCAAGCCCATCAGCAGATATTATATGATCTGCCTATTCCTCCTATTCAAGGACTGGAGCTTCTCCAAGCCCATGAATGTAGTGAATGTGGGAAGGTCTTTCTTAGTGCCCAAAGTGGGCAACGCCATGCAAGTAAAATCCATGAGATGAAGACTCTAACTTCCCAAAATGCTTGCTTGACTCCCATATTGGCCCAATCTTTGTCCAAAAACAAATTCTATTTCAAAGTCACTGAGCCAGCCACTGAACCTGGCCCTTCACCAACTCCTGGCCCATCTCAGCCACATCAAGCCCAAAGACCTAGGTCAGGAAATATATCAAGCCCTTTATGCATTCCCTAACTGTCTCTTAGGGTGGTTGAGTCCAGTGACTCTGATATTGAGATGGTCTCTGCCAGGTGAGCATTCCCACTGCCCATTTTGAATATATATCTTGCTGATTCTCACTGTATAGGGATGTCAATACCTCTCTGAGAGCCTCTTCTGCCTTTGGACCCTCTGCCAGTCTTCCTACCAGGTGGGGTCTATATATTTATGTAGATATGTATCCTCTACGCCTTCACTAATATGTATTTCTAGGCCTGGTTCTTCGTCGCAGCCTGACTCTGGCATCACCCCAGATCTGGTGGATTCCCTGCTCCGTCAGTACCAGGAAATCCAGAAGCCCCAGCCAGAGCAAGCCAAGATCTATCTCTCTGGGTCTAGGGATGAGCTCAATGGATTTCAGCTCCACACCAGGTATCCAGAGTTCCTGCAGCAACGCTCCCTCCCAAAGCTAAGAAATCTCTTCTCTCTATCCCTAGAGCATTCTGGTGAGTTTAATTTCTTTTCTCTGAGGGATACCTCTACCACTCTAACCCATGTTTCTTTTGCCATATATTTTGTATGGGGAAATGAACAACCCTAACAATGCATGTATCCTTGTGTTTGATGTTCAAGAGTATTTAGAGCTTATATCTATATCTATCTACCTATTGATATATATATATATATATATGGCATGCACTAATTTTTTTCATATTTTTCTAGATCGAATCCATGATTTCCTGACTGCCTGCACCACCTATATATTCGCCAAAGGCCAGAAGATCATCCCTCTCCTTTCTCGCCATGTTCGATGCCTTCTCAATAGTTTTGACATTGAGCATGTGACTCTGCGCCCTTTCAAACCCCTCCAGGAGGCAGCCAGTGCCCAGAAATATGCCCGCGTGCTTCACAGCTTTCTCGTTTTTCTGTTGGAGAGCTATCCCTACCAGGTCACTAGGGGGCCTAGGGATAGGGACCTGAATCGACTCTATGCTATAGATCACATGGTCAAGGCGGGGATTCAGGAGCTCAAGGACCTGCTACTATCCCCCACCCTAGCGGAAGAGGATGAGGAGGCACCAAAGGCCTCAGGCCCCTTGCAGGCAGGCAGTGCCCGTGCCTATATTGGTGATGACCTTGATGGTGAGAATGATGAAGAGGATGAGATCGATCTGGCCCTGGACCTAGGGGGGGATGATGGTGAGGAAGATCTTGAGGACTCTGGTGTTCTCGAGAAGCTCGAGCGGCAGGCCTGGCAGGCCACCAGTGGTTTTCAATTCACTCAGGCGGCAGTGCACGAAGGGGTGGCTCTCATTGAAAAGCTCCTCATTGACCTGGTCACCAGGCATGAGTCATATGACATGAAGGGCCCTATCTACGCGTTCCTGGCCTGTTTCAGTATTCACTACCAGGAGGTGACCTTCAAGCGAATTGACCGCATCAGCCAGTCCTACTCTGCCGTTATCTACGCCATGCAGCTGGTCGCCATCAACCACCATTGGACCCCATGGATCCGGAGGATCCTTGAAGCGAAAGAGGATGGGCAGGACCAAGCGCTGGCTAATGCGGCCCCATTTCATGCTGTCTTCGGCCCCTGGCTGCAGACCTACTTCAAGCACCAGTCTTTGACTTCAGCCAGCGGTGGCATTCCTATATCGGCATGGGGCCTGATTTTGACTTTTTGAGCTTTCTCTATCAAGGCAGACCGCTGCCTCAGGCTCCCCTGCCCGAGGCACTGAGATTATTCCACTCCTGGCATCCAATTCCATGATCAACCGCCGAAACCTCTTTCTGGACCCGAAATCGAAGCTCTTCCTCATTCGGCTGCGGTATAGTAAGGTGCTGGCGACCACTGGCATGGAGCGGAATGCTGTCCGAGCCATCCCCAGAGCTCCATCCCATATACTACTGGTCTATCTGGTGGTTGTGGAGCCATTCATTCACTATCTCCATCAGGCATTGAAGCTCCGAAACCGCCGCAGTCTTCTTTTTTCAATTCAGGGCGACCTCCCTACCAGCCGCCAGGTCAGTGACACGCTCCGCCATCGGACCAGCGCCCTGATCGGCCAGGGCATTCAGATCCATTCATGGCGCCATCTCGCCCAAGGCTTCATTCGATATGGCATGGGGGAACGGATGGAGGGGGACTCCATTGAAGCGCCAGAGCTGAGTGAGCTTGAGAATGAAGCTCTAGCAGCCGGCCAAGCACACCACAGCGTCCGCACGGCCATGCTGGTCTATGGCCGGCCACAGGTTCAATTTGGCAACCTCCCCATCAACCAGCAGGCCGCCTACATTGACTTCAGCCAGCGGTGGCATTCCTATATCGGCATGGGGCCTGATTTCGACTTTTTGAGCTTTCTCTATCAAGGGAGACCGCTGCCTCAGGCCCCCCAGGCCACAGCCAAGACCCCCCAGGGCCTATCTACCAGCTCCTTTCCTCTCAACCAGCCCTGCCTGCGCTTCTGGTGGCAGAGATCTGCCTCTTCACCATCCCCTAAGATCCCTATTGGTCAGTTCAATGCATTCATGGGCTCCACAACCCCCACATTCACTCCAATCGACCCCAATGTCACTGAAGGCATTCCCGATGGTGACCCGCGCCTGGCCGAGCTGGAACCAGGCCAGCGACTGCGACTGCTTGCACACCAGCCATTCCCTCAAACCCCTAGGGGCCTTCAAGCACCAGACCTCCTGCTTGGGCTCTTTCAAGAATTCATGGGAACGCCTCAGGCTGAATTTCGAAGCGCAGAACAGCGTGAGTGCCTCTACCATCTGCTGAAGCCAACCCCATTCCTTCTCATGGCATTACCAACTGCTGGAGGCAAGACCACCCTGTTTCTGCTTGCTGCAAGCCTTGCCTGGGCGCATACTACTGTCCTGGTGGTTCCCCTTGTTTCATTGAAGCTGAACCTGCAATCTAAGCTTCAAAACCTAGGTCTGCCATGGGTGAATTGGGAGGATCAGTAAGTACTATCTATCTATCTATCTATCTATCTTTATATATTTACTAATGCTCTATATAGGCATGAGGAGACCCCTCCTACCCGGCTAGTGCTAGTATCCATTGAGTCTGCTGTCAGCCAGGTCTTCATTAACTGGGCCATGCAGCTCTACCACCAAAACGCCCTGGACCGCATTATTTTTGATGAGGCCCATCTCATCCCCCTGGCCCGCAGCTATCGGGGGTGATGAATGATGTAAACCGCCTGAGCCAGATCCCAGTCCCCAAAGTCTTTGCCTCGGCCACCATGACCCAGCCTGCCCTGGACCAGCTCCGCCACCAATTCCTCCTGCCAGCCCACCTTCCCCTGGTGGTCCGTGGTGATATCAACCGCCCTGACATTCACTATCTGGTCCAAGCACACCCCCCTAGGCTCTCTGGCGCCCGCCGCTTCCAATATCTTTTGAACCTGATCCGTGATGCACGCCAGGCCGGGCAGATCCCCCCTAGGGGTCAGGTGATCATCTACCTTCCCTATAAGGGCATGGTGGAGGAGTTCCATCAGGCCTATCCCCAGGAGACAGCCTATTTCCATGCCAGCATGCCAGAGGAAGACAAGACAAGGCAGGTGGAGAGCTTTGACCAAGGGCAGAAGCTCGTGCTCCTTGGGACAGCTGCCATCGGGGGAAGGATATGACTTTGCTCATACTGCCATGGTCATTCACTGGGGGACCAGGTGGGGCATCAGCCAGTTCCTTCAAGCTACAGGGCGTGCGGCGCGGGGTGCTGGGGAGATTGGCTGGTCATATGCCATCATCCCCCCTTGAGCCTGGGCAATTCCCAGAACCAGCAGATCTCGAAGAACAGCTCTTCCACGAGTATCTCCAACAACGGGTGTGCCGGCGGTCCCTGATCAATCGGGAGTTTAATGGTAGGGTCAGCCAGGGGTGTTTTCAGCATGAGAAGGCCTGTGACCTCTGTCAGGTCAGGCAGGAGGAGCTTCACATGGTCTCTGCTAGGGCTAGGGAGGCCCTTGGGGATGGGGAAGGCCTCAGGCTGAAGCTGAAGGCATACATTAAGTTTTTTGAGTATGGTATCTGCCTCTATTGCTTTCTGATGACCCAAAGTAAGTGCTTTCTCCATCTATCTCTTTATATATATATATATACTAATTGCCTTTGTTCCTAGTAAACCCATCCCAGCCAGGAATGGATTATCATCACCATCATCAGCAATGTACTCATGCCCAATCTCTAATTTCCAGCTTCAACAAGCATCGCCACCAGTTCCACTTTGAGCCTCATGGGGGATGCTTTCTCTGCCTACTTCCTACCAGAGCCTGTGGAAATAGCACTAGAGATGGAGATCAATGCTTTTTTCCCCTGGAGTTCTTCTTGTCTGGTTTATACTGATTATAGCTTATCCTGATGTGATGACCCATCTTCAGCAAGAAGGCTTCATTCATGAAAAACCCCCTCATAAAAAGGCAATTGCCAATCTCCTTTTTAGTGTTGAGAGGGATCCTTTTCAGACAGAGGCATTTATGGGGGTGATCTATTTCTTTGAATGGTGTGAAAAGCATGTTCAACTACCTTAGAGCTGATATTTTAGATCTAGCATGATCATCTTATTTTCTTTAGCTAAGTTGTCACTATCCTTGTCATCCCTTAATATTTTATTTTAATCTATATCTTCTATCTTTTATTATACTATAGCAGTGCTAGAATAGAACTTCTGTGTAGCCCTATCCCACTATATTCATCTTTAGTCCAGTAGGGTTCAATGCTATCTAGGGGTCTGCAGCCTATTCAATGCTTAGGGACCAGTCTGCCAGGGGTCTAGTCTAGCTCAGAATGGAATATGAGAATACCCTAATAGGCTAGATCAGCCACATCACCTTAATTTCCTAAGTTGGAAGGTAATTATACAAGAGCTCATATGAAAATCCTTATAGAGAGTATTACAGGTCTGACTTTCTAAAGTGGCCTAAACAAGGAGATATAGTAGGATTAAAGTTGGTGTTCTATACTAGTAGTATAATCTAAAGATTGTATTGGATATCTATAATATATAAAACTAGTATAGAAGAGAAATATAGAATCAAATCAAAGTGATATATAATATATAAATCAGGTCTAGTAAATCCATATGGAATAGATCTAAGGATCAGAAATATATAGAGAGAGATAAAATAAAGATAAAGATATTTAATAGAGCTATACTATTATTTAATTCTCATAATAAATTAATTATACAAGATAGCAGAGAAATATATATAAGAAGCATAGCCACAACTAGTATCACTATTGATTAGGTTATATAAGAAAAAGCTATAGGAGACTCTAGGTTTAGATCCTTGAGCACCTACTAGGGTGATATATATAATCAATATCCCAAAAGAGAAGGATCAGGTAATATAGAGTGAGAATATAAGTTATAGTTCTAGAAATCAGTATAAGATTCTAAGGTCAAAATCTATCCTATTGACACTATGGGTTAATGGCATACTTATCTAGCCATCCCTAGAGCCTAAGCTAACTCCAAACCTATTAAATATCTAACTAAGCCTACTGTTAAATAATATTATTTATATAATCTCTCTGTATTGTATTATAGCTACCTTAGGTATATAAATATATTATGAACCTATAGAGAAATAAGATTAAGCCTTATAATATTAGTAGAAGGACTATTAGATATTAAATATATATTATATATCTCTATCACAAGTAATCTTATATCCAACTACTCAGATCCTAAGATTAAAATCTATTGTATTAAAGCTATAGATTAATGGCATACTTATGGCTTATATTCAAGCTAGAGCTCACTCTAAACTTATTTAATATCTATCTACACCTACTATCAAATAATACCACTTATATTATCCCTCTTTATTATATCAGAGCTATCCTACTCCTATATCTATAGGCCTTTAGAAATTTAGTAGATGATATATATGAAAGAGATACAAGTAGATAGAAATAGCTCAATAGAAGCTAGGAAATAAAAATATATTTATACTTAAGATAAACAGGATATATAATATATATAGTATTAGAGTAAAGAAGGATGAAAGTAAGATATATATTGAAAAGATAGGTGTATATATGTAGTCTTATAGTACAAGACAGGCTGTGATTCAGGAACTAAAGAGAGCTTCAGGTAGAATTATATCAGATTAGTAGAGAAGAGAAAATAATAAATAGAATAATAAAGGAAAAAAAGTAATAATATTCTTTAACTATCAAAGATAAGTGGTCCTACTTTGACTAACTAAATGAAATACTTCCTATATAGCAGAATAGAAGACTTAAACTAAGGGTCTTATATTATAGAGATATGCTTTGATTCTTCAAGAAAGAAAGGAAACTATCTAATAGGAAGGGATACTAATCTTAAATCTATAGTTAAATATAGAGATTGGCCCTCTACTATACTAATAGTATTATAAAGGGGGTGTATGTGTATTGTTCCCTGTGACAGGAACTAGGTTGTGATCAAGGGATCTCAAGGATAGATATACCAAGATGATGCTGCTATACCACATGGCACTGAATAATCTTAGCAAGAAAATGATACAACAATAAAAGGAAACACAATGATGAAGGAGCCTCACTCTGCTCTATATAATGATAATGATACCAGTGAAGCAACCTAGAAACCAAAAGAATGCTTTATTTCTTGTAACTATCTGGGAGGGAACCCTCCAATAAGTACTCCAGCCACGGGATCCACTATATATTAATATATTGGAGTCAGCAGTTCTACAGTGTTCTAAGATAGGAAATATGAGAGATCTGGGGTTTTGCAATGCCCCTGGCACAGTATGGTGGGAATTTATATTTGCTATATCCCTGATACAATATTAGAAATAAAAGATGATAAATAAGATGATGAGACATAAAGAATAAGAAAAAGAAGTATTGAAGATTATATTCTAAAATATCATAAAATCTTTTAAAATCCTCTAGTCCTTCTGTCAACTTCTATCTTCTAAAAGATTCTATCATATTCTGTTCTAAAATCCTCTTTACCACTACTATGAGGCATGTCTCCTACTTTGCCATTCTTTGATTTCAAAGCAGACTATTTTAGAAAGGTTCAACTGTATTATAAATAGGCTTATCCTCTCTTTATATCTAATTATTCTTTAATTTGTGAATAATCTCTTAACTTATCTATACCTTGACAGGCATAACAAATTTAACTAATTTTATATTTTCTTTTACTATTTCTTATAACTAGAAGAATAGAGAGAGAGAATAAGATAAACAAGAAATAAAAAAAATTAAGAAAAGAAGCAAAAAGAAGAAATAGAGAAAAGGATATAAAAATAAGAGAATAATTAAAAAGAAGAATAAATCAAAATAGAAAAGTGATTACTAAGTCATATTCCAGACATGGCGGTAGGTACCTCCACATAGAAAAATAAGGTTTCAGAGGTGGGTCCAGACTTACCGCCAACATCGATTTTGGCCCTAGGTCTAGCTCCCTAACTAGGCCATATTAGGAAGTGAGACTAGTATCATAGTGATCCTGATCAAGTCTAGTTTCTGCTAGTGCTGTTGGATTGCTGACATAAGCAGTTTTAAATATACCCTATACCAAATAGGGTAATATTATGGCCAATGCTATTACAGGCTATGTAGGGGTCCAATTGCTCAGAATTAAATATGATGATATCATGGAGGTCTAGAAGGTGCACGTGACTTCAATTTCCTAATTAGGAAGGTAGTCATATAATAGCTTAGACGAAAGTACTCATTGAGAGCATTACAATGAACATGGTCTGATATTCTGAAGTGGCCTAGAAAAGGCGATATAGAGGTGTAAAATTAGAAATTCCAATGTAGTAAAGTAGAAATGGTCTTTTATACTAATTTATAGATCAGATAAGATCAATAAAGTATGTATGTATAACAGTAAAATAGTAGGATAGGCTAGAACAGCTAAGAGAGAATAAGGTAAAAAGCATATATATATAGAGAAGAAGTATGTAGAAATATAAATATAAAGATAGTGGATATATAGTATATAGATATAGATAGCTAATAGAAAAGAGATAAGCTAATATAGCTAAATAAAAATAAAATGAGAAATATATATAGGTAAGATAGATCAGCTAAAACAGCTAAGGGGAAATAAGATGAAGAGTATATAGAGAAGATAATAGATATATAATGTTTAGAGAGAAATATAGAAAGTAAGCTTAAATAGAAAGATAGTAAAAGAGAAATTTAAATAAAAATAATAAAAATAAAAAGGCTAAAATAAAATAGTAATATATATATATATATAAAGAAATTAAATATAATAAAAAAAGAAAATTAGGAAAGATTAGGAAAGATTAAGAAATAATATAAGAGAGAGATAAAGTGGTTAGGGTTAAGAATAATAGAGATATAAATAGAAATCAAAAAATAAAAATAAAAATTAAATTAAAAGTAAATAGTGGGATATATATAGTGAAATAAATTATAAAAAAGAGAGTGGTTAGGGATAAGAATAATAAAAAAGATTAAAATAAAGGAAATTATTATATGGTAAGAGAGAGAGATATATATATAGAAATAAGAGAATAAAAGAGATATAGGATAGAGAAGTAGTATAATAAGAAAATAGAAATCAAAATATAAAAAATAGTAAGAGATAAATAATAAAAAAGTGGTTAGGGCTAAAATAATTAATGAATAAAAAATAAATTAAAGATAAGAAATAGAAAAAAAAAAGAGGTAAAGTTGGAAGTAGAAAATAGAGGAAAGAGTAAGAAAAATAAAATAAAAAAGAATAAAAAGGGAGGAATTAAAATAAGAAATAAAAAAGAGGAAGAATTTTAGAAAAAAAAAGAGAATAATAGAATGGAAAAAGAAAGTGATTAAAATAAGTAAGAATAAAGAAAATAAGAGATAATATTAAGAATTTAAAAAATAAATTTTAAAGTAAGATTAGAAAAAAAGAGAAGTAAAAATAGTTAAAAAAGGAAAAAGTAAGAAAAAGTGGTTAGGGAGGAGGAGTAGAAAAAGAAAAAGTAGAGTGATTAAAGAGAAGATAAAAAAAAAAGAAAAAGAGAGTAATTAAAGAAGAGAATAAATAAAAAAATAATTAAAATAAATATAAAATAATAAAAGAGAGCGAGCAATAAGAATAAATTTAATAAAAAAAAGTTAATTTTGGTTAAAAAGAATTGAGTATAATTAAAGTTAAGATGATTAGTATATATAGTGGGATATATATATATGTGTGTGTGTATATAGAAGTGAGTATAAGAGTATAATATAAGAGTGGATAAATAGAAGATGAAAGATGAAAAAGAAATTAAAGAATAAGGGATTAGTAGTAAAAATAAGGAAGAAAGAATGAATAAAAAGAAAAAG